GTATCTGTGATCTGATTTCCCTCTCACTAATTTCCAATGAAGGAAGCTAAACTAAATACAGGCAACTAACAATCAGAAAACTCTTCATTGCACTCAATCAAAACACTGCTTCTTCAAGTGAAGAGTTTCGTAACGACTCATTCTGCAAATTAATTACTTTGATCAGTTTAATATGATGATAACTGACAGCAAGCTGCTGCGAGAGGCGTCACTGTAGGATTAAGAAATCTGTGCATGTATTTGAAGAATATTCTCAGGTGCGTCACACAAATGAGAAATGGAAACACTTTTCAGCTTTAGGGGTTTCTACCTGTGTTCTCTTTATTTACTTCCTTTTTGGTCAATAACTTTCTTATAGTTTCACATTAAATGTAAACCAACAAGAAGCAGGAAATTAACGTAGCTCAGCACAAAGACTGGAAGCAAGGGGAACAACTTCAGTAAACTGGAGTGTTGAAATGCTGAGAGTGAAAATGATGCAGAGAGGGGCGGAGCACAAAGCAAGCTCAACATAACCAGGCTTCCTTTGTGTTAGCAGACTCATCAAAATCCAATAATGATATTAGCTTCGTTTTCTTGCACAAAGCTTTCAGCTTAAGGCTCTGCATGTGCTCGTTTGACACATGATTTAAATAATCGAGTGCCGCCTACTCCAGCCAAGAACAGGTCATAGAGAGATGTGAAGGATAACGATAACATTTCCAACTGAGACACGAGAGAAGTGCCACAGAAAAGTTAATATATGATGTTTCTCTCAGAGCATCTTTAGTGCTTATTTTTATTTCTTACAGCCGCACAACAGAGGCCTAAAATTTAAACATAATCTTATTTTTTACATTTTTGCTCAATTTGCTGAAATTCCAGATGTGTAACAAAAACCTGAAGACCAACTGCAAAACTTATTGTTGTTATGTGTTTGTTTTTTTTAACCAAAACTGACCAAAAGGTCAGGTTAGTGAAGATAAGCAACTTGTGGTGACCAAGAAATTTATAAAAGGGTAAAAAAGCAGGGTTAGCCAATAGTAATGACCACAAATACAGTGAATAAATACGTATAGTTGTATCATTTCAGGGTTCATAGTAAGATCTTGCAGTGTCGACAATTATCTAACAATGTTTTTCAGATTCGCTGTATTGTGAAGTTGTGTGTTGATGATACTGGCAGAGCAACAGCTCACATGATCCTATCTGCATTTGTTATTTTTGTATCTTTTTTTGTACACTTAATGGTTTTCAGCAGATCCATAAACACTTAATCATAAAATGTAAATCTGTGGGCAGTTACTCCATGCCCCCCTGAATTGCCTTAACCCTTTAAAACCGGTCAGAGCAGCAC